CTAAGACAAAGCATGAACAACTATAAATGTGGCATGCAAGTGAAAATAGTAATTGCTTGTGCTATATTGCATAATTTTTTACGTGAACACTAAAGTAGTGATGGAATATTCAATGAATATGAAAATAATGATATGGTTATTGATGAAAGTGACGAACTACTGGCTGAGGGTAACAACATCGCTTCATCTTCTCGATCGTCTGATTCGAAAATGCAAGCTCATCGAGAAGAGATTGTTCATAAAATGTGGGAAGATTATATAAAAGAATAGGTTGAACTCTTTCAGATGAGAAAGTATAGGTTCTTTAATGATTGCAATATTTATTTCCTTTTGTTTTCTTCTCTTTTTTTCCCCGAATTTATATTAGTTGTATTTTCATTATCATGATTTGTACCAAGACCTTTTCACTATACGAATATTTACTGTAATGATTCTTATTGATTTGTTGCGGAAGTCATAAATCTTGTTACGTGAGATTTCTATTGTGCTATGTAATACAAATTTATGGTTAGTTTAATAGTTTTAAAAACTTATGGGTATAAATCATATTTCTTAAAAAAATGAAATATATTTCTCAAATTCTATGGCCAAATACATGGTAAAATTTCACCCAAATTTTCATCCAAATAATATTTGCCAAAAATATTTGAATATCTATGGCCAAACGCTAGCTGTATCAGCTATGCTTTGTCACGCTCATTGAATCATGATAAAAATCATCTTAATTCGATTCTTTGGCCTCCCATCTTCCGTTTGTGTTAGACTTTTTTTTCCCGATATTTAATATTTATATTAAAACATTAATTAAATTCGAATCTACGCCGCACGTAGGATTAGTTCTGCTTTTGATGTTTTAGTTGCTTGTCACCTTTAGTATGACTAACTTTACCCTTCTCAAGCTTTTTTTTGTCGGTTCACTCCACAATTTACTTATATTAGTATTGTTTTAGCCACAAAGTTGTTATTCTCATCATCTTAGATTATTTATAATATATTTCTTTAACATAGTAATTGCTTACTGTATATTTCTTTTATATGATCCTTATGCAATATTAATTAGGAGAAAATTTTAGCTATTTACTTTTATTTAAGTTTTAAGATGTTAGTACTTTTCACTAAATATTTAGAGTTTGTGTTGATTGATTTAATTATTTTAGGTGTTTTTAAATTAAAGTAACTTATAAGTAGTTTAGTAGTATTTGAGTAAAACAACTTTTGTAAACCTAATTTTAATCTGAAATAATATATATAAGCCAAAAATCACAAAGTTAAAATTCTAACTTATGACATATTATAATAATTAAGTCTAAGTTATATGTACATCCAAGCAAACTCTTACACTAATATTAATGAATTGATGTGTTTACATTTTCAAAAAATACAAATCAGTGCTATTATAATAAAAAAAAAGCAATTAATTTTATTTTAAAATTTTTTAACTGACTTATTAATTTTAAAATTATAATAAATAATTTGTGATAAGCAAAGAACATAATTTTGAAAAAACAAAATAAAATTTATCGACAATACATGTGATGAGAAGGTACAATTTGAAAGTGACAAAAACAACGAAAAGTCCTCGTAGGGCTCACATATTGAAAAAGTTTAAATAAGATATGAACGGAATAAAGCAAAAGTAGAAGGGTTGTTTTGTCCATAAAAAAAAAGTACAAATCCTATACCGTCGAGTACAATTACCTTAAAGCACAAACTCTATGAACTATATAAAAAAAAATAACTATGTAAGCAGGCATGATAACGAAGACGTGTTTTCTTGCTTATGTAATAAATTAGTGATATATGATTTCGTATCGAGCACGGACCCAATATTTTAGTTGATAAGATATATTATATGAATGAGTTTATATTTGTTACGATATATGATGGATTCTCTATTATTTTGTTCGTTCAATTATCAAGAAATGATAAGTGCTTGTGCGAAAAATTATCATACAATTTTTACTTTTTCAAGTGTAACAGTTTATTCTCAGCTGTCAATTATGAAAAAATAATTGAGGCGTCTGCATCACGAAAGGCATATGTAATGTCTGTTTAAGTTTGTTTAAATTCAAACACTCAAAAAATTTCAATAATGTTGAATAATTATTTACAATTTTTAAATTAATTAAGATATTAAATAAATAATTTATTTAATTTTTATTTAATATTTAATTAATAATTATTAGATTTATTTTAACATAATTTAATTTTTTTTAATTATGATCATTTTCATTATGATTTATTAATTTGCAATATTTATTTTATACTATTTCATTATTATTTTTTGTTGAATATTTTAGTGTCATCATTCATCTCATATTTTGTGTTATTTTCTAAGAAATACCTTAGGTAGTTATATTTTGATTGGAACAAAGGAATATTTGGAGCACAACTTAATTATATTTGTACGAATACTTTGCCGGAAAACTCCAAAAATCTGGGGAAAAAAATTGAGGTTTATTAGTTTGTTTTGATATATATAATAATAATTTCGATATAAATCGTTTGGTTTGATATTCGAAAAATCGAAACCAACCTTAAAAAATTCGAGATTAAAAAACTCGAAAAAAATCAAAACTTGATAATTTAATTTGCTTTATAAATTGAAAAATTCAATAGAAACAACTTTATTTGATATTTAAAAATTTTTAATTAACCAACCTACTTACATATATTTTCTTTTCTCGAAGTAGATTTTTTTTTTCCGAAGTTAACAAATACACGAACACTTCAAATATATATACCACGTGAATCCGATTCTATTCATAGTTATCCACACGAAATATTGTTTAGTACGTTATTAAGTTGGGTTGATTATTTGAAGATTCTATCAAGTATTGCTACTATATATAGACTATAGTATTAGTGTGACATCAAAATGAAGCTATACATGCCGCATCATCAGGATAAGTTTTGCCACCTCAATTTTTGTTCCTCACTGCTTGTAAATCGTGTAATTAATTAATAAGGAAAATTTCATAAATGGCAAACATAATTTATTAAATAATATTATATAGGTGTGGTTTACATAATTACATTTTATGGGTATAGTTTAGTTTGTTATGTATCTTTTAATTTGTAAAAAAATATTTTTTTATTTTTAATTTATTTAATATTTTACTTATTCATTGAATGGTAACAATATCGCTAAATAAGGTAACAAACATTTACACAATCCCATTATTTAAGCTAACCATTCAAAATCAAATATTTTCTCAATTTTATTTAAAAATAAGTTGTATGAAACACTTAGACGTTAATGATTTTATTTATATATATATATATACACACACACATTGATTATATTGTATATATTTGAGAAATTGTAAATAATTTTTTATACAATTTCATGTGTAATTTATTATGTATTATTCATCATAAATATGAAAATTGTATATATGACAATTATGTTTGTTTTTTAAAATAAAAGTGTGTTGTATTTGTTCTTAATTATTTTCTGTAGTTTATTTGTATACAATATTTTATTATGTTCATTTTTTTATAGTATATATGTATGGATTTGTATAATATACAATAATTTGGTATATGAATCATATTTGTATATGTACATATGTAATTTCATGTTTTTAAAAAAAAATTAATGATCAAAATGATTGTATAATATTCGTTTGTCAATTGTATATATGGTAAACTTGAAATATGTTTGTGTATTTAGTGTGTAATGTTTATATATACAATATTTTATCATGTTCATAATTTTTTTTATATATCGACAAAGTTGTATAATGTACTATAATTTTATATATGTATTATACAATGATTAACAAATTTCTTTTATACAAATATTTGTATACAAATAACAATTATCTCATAATACTTTGTATATATTACCTTAATACACAACCCACTATATACATAACTTTAGTAATTTGTATATAAATTACACAACCTGATGTTCTTCAGATTTGTCTAGTTCTGTCCAGTTTTGATGAGATAGATCCGATCTCGTCTGAATTTATGTTTGACTTTTCTCTTGCTTCAACCTTCAACTATAATGCCGCTAGATTTCGCGTTGTTGATGACTTTCTGAATTGTAATTGGGTCATTTTTTTCTTGAATCTCTATTCAAGATATTGTTCAACTTGAACTTTTTTAGGTTTTGTCATATACCCTACATTGACCCCAAAATCCTGAAATAACTCAATTGAAAACGAAGGTGGATTATCAACAATATTGACATGTAATGACATACCTATGCTAATACTCATATATGGAGATGAATTCTTTATTCTCATTTTGAAGAACTTTAAACTGAAAAGAAAGAAAGAATTTTTTTAAAAAAATATATGAAAAAAACTAAGAAAAATAATACATATATAATTGTGTTGATGAAGAAATTTTTTAAAAAAAAATTGGATTAATGAAAGTAAGACAACAGGGATATGGTGAAATTTTCCAAAATTCAAAATTCAAAATAGGAGTGGAGGAGTGATTTTAGAAGAAAGATATAGAATGAGTGTAGGAGAGATAAAATTGATTTGATAAAATTATATATAAAAAGATAACTTTTTGTTTCATGGTTGGATATACAAAGAGATGGTGGGTCCCATTAATTATGGCAAAAAAATGAAACTATAGTTATTGAGTCAATAAATTAAAATATACCCTTATTGACTAATTACTTAGGAATGTTTGTCATTCCACGTAATTTTCCCTTAATAGGAATTATCAAAAAATGAAATAGGAAATAGTCAATTTTTGAAACTTAAAGCAATTGTTCGAGGAGAGGTTATTAGAAAGGATATAAGATATTTTATTAGAAAGGATATGAGATATCTGTAACTTATTAAAAAGTACGTATAAATTAATTTAATAACATTATAAGTTTAATCAAATACACAAATATTATGATCATGATCATGGTCTATATAAACAATTGTGTCGTCAAACACTTCCAAGAAAATCAAATCGAGTGTGTATAATTGGAAAGTTGTATAATATAATTTGTATAACTTTTGTATAATATATCTGTACAACTATTTAAAGTTTAAATGTTTGTGTTTGTATAAATTCATTATTTTGAGTTTATACAAATATAACTCACTTATTTAAACATATATGGAAATTATACAAACGAGATAACTTAAACTGTAACTACAACTAGTAAATATGCAAACTATAGCTATACATAGCATAATTGAGTAGTAGGTATTTGCGAAAATATGTAAATAGAAAATATATTGTAGGTTTGTCTAGTGTCATGTTTGACCAATCTTGGGCTGGGCTGGGCATAGGTTATTGGTTTATTTGGTCTTGGGCTGGGTTAACTAACTTTTGGTCTACAGTGATGTTATTGGGCCCAGTTGTTTTAGGGCCCAATAGCTGTTGAGGCCCATTCGTTGTTGGGCCCAATAGTTGAGGCCCAATATCTGAAGGTTGACAGACAGATATGGGCTTTTTTTCTGGAAAAACACACTGCTGAGGGTGCCCCGTTGAAGGCCCAGTTTTCTCTATCAATCTAATGCCATGAGCTTCATCTTGAGATTGGGCCTGTATTTCCTCCCTAAATGAAGAGTACAAATTTTTGTTTTTATTATTATTTTTTTTAAAAAAACTCCTAATAAAAACGTTACAGATAATGAAAAGATTTTCATGGAAGTTGCTCGAATGGTAAACAATCAATATACTAAGGATGTAAGTTTAAGTCACCAAAGAATCAAAAAGGATTGAAATTTTTTTTTATGTTCATATATATAATATATGTTGAATCTTCTTACTGAATATTTTTACTCGCTTATTGATATCTAGTGAATAATACTTTTTATTTGCATTTACTTGTCACTTTTAACGTATAAAAATATTTGATTTTTTTCTTAACATTAATTACTTATTTTCTAAATTATTTTTCAAAAGATAATATTAAACATCAATTAATACAAATATTATCATAAAATAATTATATCATTTTTTCTAAGGATCGTTAAATTAAAAGTAGATAAAGTAAAAATAAAGTAAATGTGAAGATCCTGAAATGACATGATATTCACTGTGTATACTGTTCAAATAATAAAAATATTAAATTTCATGCAAGATACACGAACTTCTGAAAGTACATAAACCACAAGGGACGGAGTTTCAAGTTTGTTTACGATTACGAATTTAACATTTTCACGCTTCATATTAATGTATCTTGCGCATCAGATTAGTGTATCATGTATAAAATATACATTAGATCAGTGTATATAAAATTTATTGTATCTTACCTAACGAATAATGTATTCGCGCTTGTATTATTGTATCAGTTTGAGAGATATTTGTAATTATAAATTTACAAGGAACAAATAGTAATTTTACCTTAAAAGTATGTGATTTTTGTCCTCTACCCTATGTTAAATATATATATTGATTTTAATCTCTAAGTCTTGAAAAATAATTTGAAAAATAAGTTTTAAAAGTATTTTTAAAAAAAATTATAATCTACAGTAGATAAGTTAGATAAATAGAAGTGAACGAAAGAACTACTTCCTATCTAGTTTCTACAACATTCTTACTTATCCAACTTAGAAATCTAGAGATAAGCTTATCACTTATTATTTATCTTTGTTATTTACTATGAAATTTTTAAAAATATTATGAAGTACATCGAATTAATATTAGATAAGTAAAAATAGATAAAAATATTCATCTGAGGGAAAAAGTAATTTGAAGAAATTTACTGGCTTTTGGAGTATTTTGATTTCCAATATTTTTCAATCTCATCAGCATTTCTTCCTGGGATTCTTCCAGCAATTAATGACCACCTAATTAAAATTACACCATGACAATTTTATATTAAACCTTAAATAATTAATACACAAAATTCAAGAATTTTTTTAAAAAAATATTAAACGTACCTCTCTCTAACCAAGCTGAACATTTTAGCAATGAGCATTTCTTCATCTTCTGAAAATTCAAGTTTAGAGGTTTCTTCGTTGGTAGTCTCTAATGCAACCACTCGGGTCGAATCTATAATGAATTCACGTGAACTCAATAACTTTTATTTAGACTTATAAATATATTAAGAAAATTATTAACAAAATTGAATATTTAATTGTGAACTTATAAGTAGTGTAATATATTAACTTGATGTATAAAAATACATAAATTTTAAATTCTAAATTCCGACTAACTAACTTATTATTAAAAAAAATGATTTCATAAATGAACATGTATTTTGGAAGTAGCCAAAAGGATAAATATTTGTTTACTTATGGCATTATTAGAGTATATGGTTAGACGCAGATAATCATATCATAATGTTCTCCAAATTCCTTTAAGGAATATATTTATAAGCAAATATAAAAGTATCCGTTCATTTTTACTCGTTACTTTTTAACATGAAAAAAAGACAAATATTTTATTTCATGTTTACCCTTAGCTCATTAGTTATTTATTTCTCAAATCTTCTTTCAAAACATAATATCAAATATCAATTAATATGTACTGTAGGACCCTTATATCAAAAGAAATTTTTGGTAAGGAGCATGAGATGTCCAAAATAGATCAATAAAAGTGAACGAAAAGAATAATTAAAAGCTCTTGCGATAAAATAAAAAAGAATTGTTAATTACCAGGTGAGACCACTGAGGCATTATCTGATGTGCTTGATCTATTCCAATCTGCCATCAAGAGAAATAAAACTTTAATTAAATGAATTGGAGTACTAATTAAGGAAGAGTATATGTGGAGAACAAAGATTTGAATGTGGTCTATATATATACATAGAAAATTTTATTACTACTATATGATTAAAAAAAAAAGGATTCTAAAAAGAAGGGGTGGTTCTGATTTGAGTGAATAAAATAAAAAAAAGACAAACATATGAAGAATGGTAGATGACAGTGAAGTGTGTGGTGGTCCAATAAATTGAGGTAGGTGGATACTCAAATATCGACTGGTTAGTTGGAAATTATTTGCCTAACATTTTCACCAAACAACGAAGTGTTACTACTCCTCAATATTAGAACTATTTTTATTTTAATTATGAATTGTACGATACAAATTCTTCTTTCGTGTCATGTTTTATTTTTCGAGAGTGAAACTGTGAAATTTTGGTGAATACGATTTTGAAGTATTTTTTTTATCATAGTTTCAAGTATCTTGAATTTATAATAGAAGGAAATGGAGATATTGACGATGATATTATATATCGTATTGGTGCATGTGAATGAAGTGAAAGGTTGCATCCGGAGTCTTGTATGACAAAAATGTACCATTGAAATTTCAAGGTAAGTTTCTATAAGTTGGTAGTTAGACAAACTTTGTTGTATAAGGCGGAGTGATGGCTACTCATGTTCAGAAGATGCATGTCGAGTTAATGAGGATGTTGAGAATATTCTAAATAAGATGAGAGTGGCTCCGTAGTCCGTGGTGGACAAGATGATAGAATTAAGATTAAAATGATTTGAACATGTGAAGAGAATATGCGCAGATGCCCCAGTGAAGAGGTGCGAGAAGTTAGTTATGGTATGTACGAGGAGAGGTATAAGTAGGCCAAAGAAGTAAGTGGATACTCAAATATCGATTGGTTAGTTGGAAATTATTTTCAACATTTTTACCAAACAACGAAGTGTTACTACTCCTCAATACTAGAAGTATTTTTATTTTAATTATTAATCGTGCTAAGCAAATGCTTCTTTTGTTTCAAATTAGTATGTCATGTTTTATTTTTTGAGAGTGAAACTATGTATGTTTGATAAACATGATTTCAAAATATTTTTTCATTATAGTTTCAAGTATATTGGATTTTCAATCGAGGAAAATGGAGATATTGACGATGATATCACACATCGTATTGGTGCACGACTGTACGTGAATGAAGTGGAAGGTTGCATCCGGAGTCTTACTTGATAAAATGTACCATTGAAACTTTGAAGGTAAGTTTTTTATTAAGTGATAGTTAGATAGATTTTGTTGTATCAAGCGCAATGTTAGCTTGTCAAGAACTTTCATGTTCAGATATACATGTTGAGTCAATGAGAATGTTGAGGCGATGAGGATGTTTAGAAAATTTATACCTTTACAAATTTATACCTTTGTAAAGAAGAGATGTACAGACGCTCCAGGGAGCAGGTGCAAGAAGTTGATTATGGTATTGTACTAGAAGATTTAGATGTAGGCAAAGAAGTATTGAGAAAAAGTGATCAGACTGGATATTGCAAAACTTCAGGTTATCCGCGAGGATAGATAATTTTATATATAAAGGTATGAAGGACGTCTATTATAATAAACAGTGGAGTGTTTTCTTATTTTTGAGGGTTTGGGCTCATTGGTGTTTGTCATTGTACTATAGTTCTTTCTTTGGATCATATCTATTATCTTTAATTGTTTACTGTATTTTAATTATCACACTATTTTGTTGTTTTTGTTCCTTTCTTGTAGGATTTCCACTACTTCCTTTTTTAGTTGCTATGTTTTCTTATTCTTGAATGTTGAAGCAATGTTTTTTCAGAAACAATTTATCTACTTCTACGAATCATGACAAGTACTACATACACTTTATCTTCTCTATATTTCATTTGCGGGATTCCTCTGAACATATTGTTATTAATGTTGACTTGAGAAAAAAATTATAATTTATAATAATTTTTGTATCAATTGAATTTTAAATTATGGAAAAGAATTAGTTAAATTAATTTTTTAAAAAATAAATATGAAAACTGATATGAAACGGAAGGACGAATTGCTAGTTAACAGACATACATATGCCCTTTGTTTAAGGTAATTCATCTTGGCTTTATTAGTGTTAAATCACATTTGTGAACCTTTGAAAATCTGTACTAGAGGAAGCTCATTTTTCTTGATTTGCTTCCTCATTAAAATTGTCTATACACTTCAACATAATTGGACAAGATGGATTTTACAAAGGTATAAATTTCGTCTTGTTTTTTACTATATGTGAAATTTAGTAAGAAAAAAAATTGTATCATAAGAGATAATTGTCTTACATTATTATATCTCTATGTATAATGAGTTATTATTCGCTATTCACATCTATAAATTCCTAATATTAATTTATGTATGGTATTAAACTATTAATACGATCCTAGTGTTAACTATAGGAGTATTTATATATTTTACTGAAAGAAATTAAAAAAAAATTAAACTACGTAAAATTGAACCAAAATACCAAAAATATCTCTATTACTAATATTTTAGTTTAAAACTACCTCTATTAGTGTTAATGATTCAAAATATTTTCCCCAAAAAATAATTAGTATCTCTTTTTCTTTTTAACCGTATTTACACTCTTAATCAACATTAACTAGATTGGACATGTCCTTAATTAATTAAACGGTGGCAACTAATTTCTGATCCTAATCGAATATATCAAAGAAAATATTATTGACCAATAAAGAAAACACCACTCTTAGATCTATTGTGTATTACTTTATAATTTATATTTGTTTCTAATTCGAAAGATAAAGAGATTTCTTGAAAAACTAATTTTGTTTTAGTTTGTAATTAAAAAACTTAAAATTTGTATTGATCGATAAAGCTACTTACACGAAGATTGTTCATCACTTCAGTAACCAAAAGAAGAAAACAAAAATAAGAAGACAGAATAGATTATAACCCTCTAAATTTGTCGAGTATTATTTAATTTGGTGCACATATAAACTTTTTAGTCATAGTAGTTTTTCTTTTTCTTTTAAAGATGTAAATTTGTTTTTGGTAATAAAGTACTTACTTAATTGACTAATGAACATATTAAAACTGAATGAAATTTCAACATTTTATCACCCTATTCGGGCTAATACATGCAGACTTTATCATTTTACAGATTAGATTGAGCTAGTCCATTTTTGGTGTAGGCCAAAAAACGGTCGACCCAATCCACAATTACGTGGACTATAAGCTTGCCGGACCAGTTTGTTTTTAAAAAAATTATATATTTTTTTAGAATTGTTAAATTAAATTATAAATTTTAATTTAACAATATTATCATAAATATCAATAAAATAATATTACATGATGTTAATGTTACTACTCGTTAATCAAATCCACAAATAAAATTATTTTCATAATTTTTATTATGTTTTTTTAAAAGTAAGAGTAGAAATATCTAAATAGAAATATTAACCTAATTGTTTTGAGTTTGAATTCTCTTTAATTTTAAATATTAATATTATTTTTATTGGCCCACGGGTTGGGTTCTATCGATATTTTTCAAGCCCCTTAAATGAACAGGCTTACTTAGGTCGGGCTAAAAACCCCTGTTCTTAAATGGACTCTAAAAATCTTAGTACAACCTTATTAAATCCCACATTAGACCAGATCGGCCCAACATGTTGATGACTCTATCTTTAACAACTTCGTAAACCATATTAAAATGGGCAACTTTCACATATAGCAAACAAAAAATTCATATTTGTATGCTATAACAAAGTTTGCATAATTGCGCTCCATAGCAAACATAAAACTGTATAATTCGCTGGCCTAAATTGTATAATTCGCTGGCCTATTTCGCTGCAATTGTATAATTCGCTATCCAATTTCATTGCAATTGTATAATGTACAATTGTATAATTCACTGCCTATTTCGCTGCAATATTTTTATAAAATTTGCTTTGCATACAATTGAATCGAATTAAAATGTATGTATATTGCATAATTATAAGTGTATAGCAAGAAGATATATGTTTTCTCTCGCTTTATACAAAAACAGAAACACAATATATACACGTCTGTTGTATAAAGCTAGAGAAAATTGTATTTCACTGCAATTGTATAATTCGTAATTGTATAATTCGTTGACCTTTTTCTCTGCAATATTTGTATAAAATTTGCATTTGTCTACAATTGAATTAGAGTAAAATGTTTGTATATTGCATTAATTAAATGTATAACACGAAGATATATGTTTTTGCATGTGTATATACAATTTTCTCTCGCTTTATACAAAACAGAAACAGAAATTATACACTTCTGTGTATAAAGCGAGAGAGGCGAGAATGGGAGAGTGGTGAGCGAGACTTTCAGGAGAGAGGTGCCTCGTAAATTTTGGCTAACATTTGCTATGGAGCACAATTAAATCAAACCCTAGATACTGCATTTGTTTTAGGTTATTAGTTTGCTATTATATATAATTTTCCCTACTAAAATTGAATTTGATAGGGAAAGGGTATCACGTTTTAAAAAAACGAAAGAGAGAAAAAAAAATAAAAAATAGAGAGGATAGATTGGATTCCTTTTCCCATTGGGAGATGGCTTATCACTATTTGGATTAAAATTTGAGTTAAGTTTTGTGCGGTGAAAATACGTAATAAATCTATATTATTAGGTTACATTACACGTGTTAAAATAAATAAAATTTGGTAACTTAAAAATAAAGTAAAATTTATTTTAAGTTTCTTAAAATAGAATAGCAAGTGACAAATCAACTAGGACTATAAGTAGAATACTAAATAACTCGAAATAGGCTTTAATTAGATTAAAACATTTAAATCCTTCACAAATTAGGTTTAGGATCGCAATATCTATAAATTATATCTTGATACACCATTAAGTCTTTCATTCTTTTGTGAGATAAAAATTAATTGAGCTATTAGCATTATGGAGATTTTCGATTACAAAGAGTCCAAATTGCATTACTCCTTTGCGTATCCCAAAAGAAAATTTAGAATTTTCAATAGTCCTTCTACGTTTGAATTAGTCGAAATTCAATTAATTTGCAAAATTGAACATCTTTGGCATGATGTTTCTGGTAAACAAATCAAACGTGAACGTCCACAAATCTCAAAACGTTTCACTATGAAATTTCAAGATTTCAAG